ATGAAGAAAAACTTTAATATAAGTTTACATATAACGGCAAATGTACAACGTTTCGACAAGGTTTTGTCATCATCAGGTACTCGAAACGTTGTACATTTGCCGTTATATGTAAACTTATATTAAAGTTTTTCTTCATTACCCATTCAAGCCGTCTCCAGCCATTATTAGTCTCAAAGTGGGTTTGAAATACTCGAAGCTGCTGTTTTAAAATGCTAACATTTTTACTCAGAGAACGTTAGTTTATGAACGAATATATAGAGAACTCTACACGTGGGTTACCTTAGGACTACAAACTACAATTCATAAACGTTTCTTACGTTAAATAATGTAGTTTATGAAGATATAATTACTCGTTATTCGGAGGTCTGTAGTTTATCGTCTTGCTGATACTTAATCATTGCAATTCACATGTGTGAGTTGCTTGCTATGTACAAAATTATCACATGGATTTCTTGATTATAAAACTATTGTATATTAACAATAGCTGTTGCTTGCTATGTACAAAATTATCACATGGGTTTCTTGATATTTATAAAACTATTGTATATTAACAATGGTTGTTGCTTGCTATGTACAAAATTATCACATGGGTTACCTGATATTTATAAAACTATTGTTCAATGAGAAAGACTACCTTTTATAAAACGTAAAATAGGACTCATTTATTAAAACTATTGTTCTCTTACAAGGGTTGTGGTTATCCACCCTCACCCCCAAAACATTCTAAGGAAAAAAAACACGTTTTTGAGAGAAATGCTGTTAACATTACCACGGTAGTTTCCATGCTAATATATTATTATGATGAGTCATACGCAGCTTGTGAGCACATAAACGCTATTATTTCATATTATTTTATCACTCTTAGCTAAGTCTGAGTAATATATCGTATAGATATAGATTTGACCGTTTAAGAGTACAAGCTGAAATTGTTTTTCTCCGTAATAATGTTTTAAAAATTCAAGAAATCAGGAAAATAATATTATGGATATTTTTTGATTCCTGCTACTATTCGTATTAGGGTTTTAAGATGTAACAGCTAGTTGGCAGAAGAACCAAGAAATCTTACAGTTTTGTTTATTAATTCCTTAACAGAATTACTATACTAGTTTCCAGACAATTTAACTTCTAAGAAAGGACCTCTAGTTGTTAAATAAGTATAACGAGTTATTTTTTTGTCAGGTATGCTCCAGCTCTGCACCGTGTATTTACGACTATAAAGTTACAGGAAACGAGGTTTTCGCGAAGATGACAAAGAAACATGAAGCGATGGCGTACCAGCTGAAGACTGATTCTAGTGGTATTCTTCCTTTTATAGGGTTTTTCTTTAAAAAATGTTGTCAACTTATTGTTATTATTATAGCTAAATGTTTTGGTAACTCAAATATTCCAGAGTGAACAAAATCAAAACTGCAAGTTTTAGGCTACTGGCGTTCGTGTGACGCACGTTAACTATAATGAGTATAAGTTTTTATATTTAATCTAACGATAGAAGTCTTTTGACTAGATCATGAACTCAGAACTTAGAAAATTGGAAAAATTAGTAAAAAAAAATTAATATTACTTGTTCTCGCAATGTTCGCCATCGGGCTTTAAATCTATCACTTGTTTCGTAGTTGAATTACTCAAATTTAATTTTGCAGTCATTCGTTGCCCTGCGCTTCCTAGACCAATAAACGGAAGGAAGACAGATAACACCTACAAGCCTGGAGGTATAGTTCGATTTTCCTGTGATGAAGGATACCGATTGGTTGGTTACGAGGTACGACAATGTATGTCCAACGGCCTATGGTCCTGGGGAGACGACCCGGAATGTATCAGTAAGATAAGATATCAATATTCTTCTTATAACTATATAGCTAATGCTAGCATTGATTTAAAGCCTATGTCAAGTGAATTGTGACACCTGAGAAACTATCGCGTAATGTCAGAGTATATATGCATGTTTCTTCCAGTGTGTTATCATAAGGTGTCAGGTTAGCTTTGAGTATTTTAGCTAAAGACATGACTTATGACGTACAGTCATTGCTAGTCGATAATAACACGACCTTGTTATTGGTTACACTATAATCTTAATATTTATTTTTACTGGCAAGGGAGAATGTTTTATCATTCGACTTTATAACATTGAGTCACTATTTTACCTATAAACATCTGAATTCCTGGTTTAAAATATTGGGGGAGATCATTTTATCATTCGACTTTATAACATTGAGTCACTATTTTACCTATAAACATCTGAATTCCTGGTTTAAAATATTGGGGGAGATCATTTTATCATTCGACTTTATAACATTGAGTCACTATTTTACCTATAAACATCTGAATTCCTGGTTTAAAATATTGGGGGAGATCATTTTAGGGTTGGAATTCATTACCTTATGCCACTATGATGACGTGGTTGTGTGTGGGAACTTCCTGACTAGCTATTTAAGTAATCAGGATCATTTAGAGTCGATTTCAAATTCTAATTTCTCTATTTGCGTGTATTAATCACATCAAAGATTCGTACTGAAATTAAATAGTTATATTTAAGTTTCGCTAGAAACCATCTCTCTTTATTCAGTTGTTTGTTGTACAATACACTAGTTTTAATTAACAGTGAACTGAAACTAAACTAATTAATAGTTTATCTATTTTATAATTATATACTAAATATTCGAGTCTTATTATGTTATAACAGTATTCGTTCTAATTAATTATCATATCGTTCATTAGGACAGTTCAGGAATAAATGGTGCATCATATCCATGATGTTAAATTTAAAGTAATATTCTTTATAATTAATGTACGAAGTTTTTAGCACTATCAAATATTTTGCACAAAAGTTTATAATTAATATTTTTTACAGAGTTCAAAGTACAATATTTAATATCTGTTAAATTGTTTGAAACTATAACATTCTCTGCTCTATAATCTATACGATTAAGTAGTATTGCCCGTATTTTACGCTATTCTCTTGCAAACTATTATTTTCATCCCACTAACGGTTCCAAGGTTTATGAATTGTTTAATACAGTCTGCGTGTATATTTCAAACTTATAGTTTAAATTTCATTTTCTTAAATCTACCTCCCTGTCTTTCTGTTTCTATCTAACTTGTATTTGCGTCAAAATGTGATTCATTTTGTGCCAAAAAGTAATCATAACTTTGTAAGATTCAAAATAAATGTCGTAGAAATGTGTTGAATTATACTATACAATACAATTAAAGAATAGTTAATATTTATAATGATATAACGATAACAAGGCAAAATCAGTATCCCCTTCTCAGCTCATTGTCATGTAAGGGATATTTTATGATGAGGCGTGCGATTTGAAATTGAAATGATTGGTAATTGAGCTTGTACTATATATATAGTAGCCTCACATAGTCTTGTCTTAGTCGCCACGTTGAAGTAAATTACAAAATTTAGTGTCCTAAGATCTTCATGTACAATACCTAACCTCAAATAAAGCATTTTGATGTTTCACTCATCTCAAGAGTCATCATCAGACAAATAAAAGTCGACCAATCACAGCATGACTGTTGATAATTGGGTACAGATGTCTCAAAGTGTCGTTAGCAGAACATGAAACCACTTCTAAACCAATGGTACAGTTGGCTGGACAGTTGGGTAAGGCAGATCACCATCCACAACACGAGCAGATAACTGTTATCTGCCGATTTTAGTTCGCACAATCGTAGAATGGAGATTTCGAAACTGTGTCAGATGTTTGTAAACATAAATTGTTTGTTTGTTAAATTTAGTCTGAAGCTAATCGATGGCTGCCTGTCTCCTATTTTTGAATAGTAGACTAGAGGGAAGATAGCTAGTTAACGCCATTCACCGCCAACTCTTAGGCTACTTTTTTACCTCTTTACCAATGAATAATGGGATTGACTGTCACGTCATAACGCCCCTATCTTTAATAGGTTGAACATGTTCAGTAACGGAGTACGATCCCGCGGCCCACAGATTGTGGGTCGATCGCCCTAACCACCAGGCAAACGTAAGTGGACACCATTCCCCTCACAGCAAAACACAAAATATCTCACCTGCTAAGGCGCCAAGAACACGTCCGTGTATAGCAATATTCTTTTTACGAATAAGCCACTGTTGGTACTTAAACAGTAGTCTCCATAATGTGTGGCATTAATCATACCCTTCTCCAGAATATAGAAGTCAGTACGTTCACAAATATTTTTCCTTGCCACTTTATTCTTCCACCACTGCCATATGCTTCAGTGTATGGAAATATGGTTGGATATGGTTTCATATTCTCGCTAAATAAGTACACGTCTACTACCTGGCTGCAGGCTTTGGGGACTGCCCAGTACAGATTCAGTTGTCTCCAACTTAAGCCTTAAGTTAGATGATGACCTGTGATGTTCAACACATCTTTTGAAGATGAGATTAATCGAACGGCGTAACCTACATGCTAACCTGACATCATTCTAATCAAACGTGTATGACATTCTCGAGGAAGATATATATCACATCTCGACAAGTGACTCCAGACATTAAAGATACTCTGTAAAAAGGGCTTCCGGACGAGTGGTTGAGGATACTCTGGATCCTGAACTTATCAAAACTGGTTTTAAGAACGTAACTTGGCTGTTAAGCTATCCCTACTGTTCATTTTGATCATACAACCTATTAAAATATCTGTAACTTTACCACATGCTCAATTACTATCATTAGCAAAAATATCGAATAATTTGCCTTTCAGGTCACATCACAGATCATCAGACGCCTAATCTAAGTAAAATGAATTGAGAATATGTGTGTATGATTGATATTACTTTATAGAAGTGTTTTTTATCGTTTAATTATTTCATACAGTGTAGATACAGTTAGGGTCCCTCCTTTTTTAAATGAGTGAGAGAGTAAGTTAATTGATGTTATGTAATATACGGATAAACATTAAAATACCATAAATGTTGTAATAGTTACTTATTATTTTCATTAAAATATATCAAAACGCTTAATTTTGGATTATTACATTATTTACTCTACCCTAATCCCCCCAAGACATTATTTACGCCCCTCTGGAATTGGGAATTGCTGATTTAGACTATTTGTTTCATATTTCAATCGGTATGATACAATAGAGGTCACACTCCGAGGTATGCCCGAAATCATTTGATATTTGATGTTAAGTCGAATGTTTCATGAAAATGGAGTTTAGGTCATGGTGAAAAAATGTATGACGTTTTGTGATTTTTAAAGCTCCTTTTCTATGCATGTTAATTATTAATCAAAATGTTAAGCATTCATGTCAGTGAAAATTTATTTACTTCTTTTTGCTTCACACTTGTGCAACACCATCCGTTATTTTACTTAACTTAAGTACAACATATCTACATTGTCTGGCTAACTGTTTGTTTGTTTTGAATTTCGCGCAAAGCTACACAAGGGCTATCTGCGCTAGCCATCCCTAATTTAGCAGTGTAAGACTAGAGGGAAGGCAGCTAGTCATCACCACCCACCGCCAACTCTTGGGCTACTCTTTTACCAACGAATAGTGGAATTGACCGTCACATTAGAACGCCCCCACGGCTGAAAGGGCGAGCATGTTTGGTGTGACGGGGATTCGAACCCGCGACCCTCAGATTGCGAGTCGAGCGCCGTAACCACCTGGCCATACCGGGCCCTGGCTAACTGACTGTCTAACTAATTGGATGTTTGTTTGGTTGGCTAACTGACTATCTAACTGGTTGGATGTTTGTTTGATTGGCTGACTGTCTAACTAGTTGAATATTTAGTTGGTTATCTGACTAGCTATCTAACTAGTTGGATGTTTGGTTGTTGTCTGACTAACTGACTACCTAATTAGTTGGATGTTTGTTCGGTTGGCCGGCTGACTATTTGTCTGATTATCTGGCTACTTAGATGTTTGGTTGGCTGGCCAACTGTCCGTCTGGTTGTCTAGGTAGTTGGATGTTTAGTTGGCTCGCTTTTCGTCTAACTGTCTAACTAGTTCGATGTTTGGTTGGCTGGCCAACTGTCCGTCTGGTTGTCTAGGTAGTTGGATGTTTAGTTGGCTTGCTTTTCGTCTAACTGTCTAACTAGTTCGATGTTTGTTTGGCTGATCAATTGTCTGTTTGGTTATTTAACAAGTTTGATGTTTGTTTGGTTGCCTCAATAACTGTCCATTTATTATCTCAGTAGTTGGGTGTTTGATTGGTTTGTTGGCTGTCTGGTTGTCTAACTAATTTGATGTTTATTTGGTTGGCTGGCTAACTGTCCCTTTGGTTGTCTAACAGGTCTGATGTTTGTTTGGTTGGCTGGCTAACTGTCCGTTTGATTATCTATTTAGATGAATGTGTGACTGATCGGCTGACTAACTGTCTCTGTGGCTGTCTAGCTAGTTGGATATATGGTTGGTTGGCTGGGTAGCTGTCCATCTGGTTGTCTAGCTAGTTGGAGGTATGGCTGGTTGTCTAGCTAACCATCTGTCGTTGTCTATTAGTTCAATGTTTACTTGTTTTACTGGCTAATTGCTTGACTGATTAGTAGGATATTTGTTGGATTGTTTTTTTAACTACTTAGTTTTCTATCTAGTTGGATATTTGGTTGGTTAGCTGGCTGTCTGCCTTTCTCGCTAGTTAGATGTTTGGTTGGCTGGCTAATTGTCTATCTGGCTGCTTAGCTTGTTTGGTTTACTGATTATCTAGCATATCATCTGTCTGCTGATGGGTTGTTTAACTGTCTGTTTGTTGTTCTGGCTGACTAATGTTATGATACACGATAATATTATTGAATTATTTGCTATATGCTTAATGTTATTAACGAACATGACGTTTGAAACCAAAATCAGTCCATACTCATGAGGACTGAAGAAAGCTTTTAGAAGTAGTTAGTAAATTCCATGTTTCCTTACACTGTGTGTATTTGTTGATATCAATATGAATGTGTACACATATTAAAATATAATATGTCTTTTTCAGGTAATCAGGAGTACAAACGCCGCATTGCTGGTATAACAGTGGGGATCATCGTACCAATTTTGCTCATTCTGATCCTTGTAGTGGTTTGTTTCATTCGCCACCGCAAGCAGTCCGATTCACATTATACAAGAGAGAGTGGGTAAGTTAGTAGTATGTTTTTGGTTTGATTCATCCCATACAATGCAAGAAGTCCGATTCGCATTATACAGGAGAGAGTCCCACTCTCTCCTGTATAATGCGAATCGGACTTCTTGCGTTGTATGGGATGAATCAAACCAAAAACATACTACTAACTTACCCACTCTCTCCTGTATAATGCGAATCGGACTTCTTGCATTGTATGGGATGAATCAAACCAAAAACATACTACTAACTTACCCACTCTCTCCTGTATAATGCGAATCGGACTTCTTGCATTGTATGGGATGAATCAAACCAAAAACATACTATTAACTTACCCTAAGTTAGTAGTATGTTTTTGGTTTGATTCATCCCATACAATGCAAGAAGTCCGATTCACATTATACATAAGAGACAGTGGGTACGTTAGTAGTCTGATGTAGTGGTACGTTAGTAGTCTGATGTAGTGGTACATTAGCAGTTTTTTAGTTATTTATTTCAATCATCACCTCAGGCAGCCTGATTCGTGTTATGTAGGAGAAAGTGGGTAAGTTAGTGATATATTTTAGTGGTTTGTTTCAATCATTACTTCAATTATACAATTAGCATTGCTCTGAAATGCTCTGGTTAAATAGTAGCCTGTTACAGTGGTTTGCTTCATTCGTTACCAAAGGCAGTCCGATTTGTATTAAGCAGAAGAGACTTGGCAAATAGTAGTCTATTGTAGTGGTTTGTTTAAACCTCAGGCAATATGGTTCGCATTACATAGCGGATGCTGGATAGGTTAGAAGACTGTGCCAGCTGTATAAAGCCTTTAAATTCAATTATTTTTCATGATAAATAGACATTCTGCTTCCTTCTCTAGTTTTCTAAGTTACTGAAGCACATAATGTAGTATCTGCTTATTATATAAAAGTATTATAAACTGATGTTTTTCTATTCCATAGCTCTCCATGTACTGTACACCAGATTCCAATGATATATTTTTAAAATCTCATTCTAAAACTTAACATTTGCTTAGTTAGAATTATTATAGCATATTCAAGTTACTTTATAGATGAATGTGCAATATTGTATTGAGAAATTGATGTGTTTTTCAAGTATTCTTAAACAAATTTTATGGAAGTATTTCTATATATGTTCACTACTACCCTTAAAACGGTTGTATAACGTGTATCTTTAAGGAATTAGTGATATCATGGTGTCTTGCAATTGACTAAGTTAAAAAACTTTATTGAGAATACAGGGGAAATGTAATCATGGTTAATAACTTATATTTCTATCAGTATATTTGTAGTTTGTGAAATTCTGAAGAGGTAGGCTTATTTTTATGGAGTGTTTTACATTATTATCATTATTTTATATAATGCTATCACACTTTTTGTTTTGGAATGATAAGTCTTAGATAATAATTGTAAAATAGTTATTATCAACTAGATTTTTTTCTGTTGACTATTTTACTTAACCTAGTATAATATACGATTCTACTGAAATAATCGGTTTCATTCGCTATATTACAATTTGGCTTCATAGTTCTACTTTGTATAGAAACTTATTAAAACTACTACTTCTCTTTACGATCAAAGCAAGACCTGAATTGCTTGAAATCATATAAATGGATTAGTTTTCAGTTAAAAGCAGGGCATGGTGTTTGTAGCTAGCTGACTGTGAGGTTTAGAAGCAGATGGGTAATTGTTCCGTTCAGTGGGTAATGATTATGATGTTTCTTTGCAGAAGGCCAGCAAGGAACGTGGAAGTGAAGACTCCATACACCAAAAACTCAGTTGAAACAGAAACTTGAACTGTTTTAGATTCAGCCTATTAAAATAGTGTTTTACAAGGTTAACTTAAGTGTATTGTTTCTAACTGGGTTCTTGAGAGCTGTTTGAAGTTCTCATAGCGATCATGTACATCCAAAGTTTTGATTGACTAAAAAGACTGATGACTGTGTATAAGATTATTGTGTTAAATTTGATCATTAAATGTAACCCCAGTAACTATGAGGTATCAGCTTGTGTTGCATACTTTGTTATTGTTGATATTTGATAATCAAACCAAATAAGGTAGTTTTATAATAAATTACTGACCATTAATTTCTTGTCGTTGTTTGTATGGGCAGTTTTAATATTCTTTTTTAATGTATGTTATGTTGCTTAAAGATATTTCATACTCTTAATATCTGGTAAAACAAAATGCTGAAAAAAAACCTTGTATGTATGCTAGAAAAACAATATTACGTTCACATCAGGTTTTTGTAATCATTTTTCTATTTCATCTACTTTCGATGTATTTGTGCGTGTGTGTGAAATAAAGTAGTCCAGTTTTTACTCTTCGTTCCTTTTCTTAGTTTAATCATTAACATGGTTGAAGAAAAGGGTTCAAACAGATTTTACTTCTTCGAATAAAACTAAATGAGCAAATGAATTACATATTTAGAAACAAAAAGTCATGAAACCTACATAAACAATATAAAATATCGAATCGTAAAGGTTTTACAATTTAACAAAAACGTTTAGAAATAAAACAAATAAAGTACATAAAAATGAAGTTAAATTCAAATCGCACAGATAGTAGGAGCTTTTTTAACAGAATAATTTCAATTAATCCATTACATATTTCAAACCAGTGATGTGTAAATAAGCTTTTTTATTATTTATATTTTGCATATGCAGTGACTTTTCACAGATCGAATAGGAATCCGAAATTCAGTTTTTATCCGTATCTAACTTGGCACCTCATTCAAAAAATCTTACTAAAGAACTCTTGCAATCAAACGTCTCTAGACTTATTACTGCTGTAAATACAGCTAGGCCTAAAACGTCAACTGAAAAATCCAAATATATATATTTTCACTTTTTATATTTTTGGTTTCCTTAAATGATAGTTAGTGTAACATAGACGTAAAAAAAATTGTAAAATTCAAATATTTATGTATAACAGAGATGTTTTGATTATTATTATTATACTATTATAACATGTAAAATATAAGATATAGCATACAATATTTCATACATTTTTTATTCATAAAATATATTATACGTATTTAATATGCATTATAGCCTAGTCTTAGGAACACAGGAATTTTGACTTGGTTAATTTTTCCTGTCTTTCTAAAGTCGAAGAGCAGTTGCTACTTAATCTATTGATTAATTATTAGAAGAATCTAATCTATGCTACACTCCTTGAATGTATAATAGTATTAGAAGTAATAGTATTAAATCATCTTACTTACATTGGGTACTTGTTGTTAAAAAATTAAAATTATAATATTAAAACAGAGTAAGTAAGATACACAGAACGAATAGTTCAGAAATAGGAATGGTGTCACGCTATTGCATGTACTGCACATTGAAAGGTGCTGTAGTATGACTCCATTATTACAGGAGGAAGAGTCTGTGTTTTGACCTAATCTAATATTTTTCTAGTGTATAAAACATTATTATTTAATCAAAATATCTAGTAGTTGCGAGGATTTATTTTTATTAGTTCTATTAATTAACAAGTACAAATTTACCACATTATTAGATATAGGTTTAATTACACCGTTACCAATTGCTAAGTTATAGGTATGTCTACGGTGTGCCATATGCTTAGTTAAAACTACACTGTACAGTTACCAACTCTATATCATATGTAACTTCTGGTATAGAATTAGTTTATACTTATTTTCCTACTTACAGTGTTACCATGTGTTCATTTATAGGTTTAGTACAATACCGCTGTGTGTCAGTTATAGCTTTAGTTTCCAGTTTTAATCGCATTAAAGTAACTGTGAGTTAATTGTAAGTTCAATTGCAGAATTATCATTAATGTTAGAGTTAGATTAGTTTGGTTTTAGTACATGCTTTCACGCCAGTCTATTGATAAGATCAGTACAAGTTTTGACCATCAGGAATCTAACTGTGTGCAATATTAGGGTGGATAAATCTCTGAATGTGGGACTAATTTTCAACAGAACAATAAATCTGCAAGCTGTACCAGAGATGTACTGATACGTTGACAAATCATCAAGTATGGAAAATTTTCTTTTATTAGAGGATTAAAAACAAGAAAAATATCAGAGATGTACTGATACGTTGACAAATCATCAAGTATGGAAAATATTCTTTTATTAGAGGATTAAAAAACAAGAAAAATATCAGAGATGTACTGATACGTTGACAAATCATCAAGTATGGAAAATATTCTTTTATTAGAGGATTAAAAAACACGAAAAATATCAGAGATGTACTGATACGTTGACAAATCATCAAGTATGGAATATATTCTTTTATTAGAGGATTAAAAAACAAGAAAGATATCAGAGATGTACTGATACGTTGACAAATCATCAAGTATGGAAAATATTCTTTTATTAAAGGATTAAAAAACAAGAAAAATATCAGAGATGTACTGAAACGTTGACAAATCATCAAGTATAAAAGATATTCTTTTATTAAAGGATTAAAAAACAAGAAAAATATCAGAGATGTACTGAAACGTTGACAAATCATCAAGTATAGAGGATATTCTTTTACTAGAGGATTCAAACACAAGAAAGATAGATTATTTTACTAAAACTAATAATGAAAACGAAGTATTTTTTGTAAGTTCTCTTTAAGTTAATAATACTCGTAATCAAAATCAATAATGCCCAATATAATCATATAATCAAAAACTAATGTTCTCCGTTGGTTCAGCAGTAATGCCGAGCTCATAACGATAACAAATTGGTAATCGTTATCCATAAATAGCCCCCTATGTAGCTTTGCGCTTTAGCTAAGAGACAAACAAACATAATCAAAAGTTGGTGTACCACAAGGAGCTCACTTTTATTCATTTTGTTCGCAAATACCTTGTCTTTTTACATATAAATGTCAAATGTTTAAAGATCCGTGTGCTCATTACCCAGCACACTGGATGTTTTCTCTCCGCATTTCAATAAATTCTCAAAATTTTCATTTAGCCTTCATAAGTGTTGAACTATAAACTAAATTGTAAAGAAGTCATTAATCTCAGAAAATTAAACTTATTTCTCCATGTAAAAATTTAATGCCTAAACATCTAATAAGTGATATAGAATTGTAAAACAGAATTTTGTGATATACATTTAAGTTCAGTTAAATTCTCAAATATCTTTGTATTATTTATAATGAAAAATTAAATTGGAAATAATATGCACGTTTATTAGTTTTAAAAAATGTTGCGTCAAATTAAATATGCTTAGGAAAATTATAATAAAAAATGCGAATAGCACTGGTAGAATTTTAAACTGAAAACGAATACAAAACTTAGAATGACGGTTAACTTTGATTCACCTTTTATAAGTATGTATATATACATATATATTGTAATAACTATCTCTGTGTGTGCTACATAGTTCAACTTGTTCAGATATACCTTAAATTTTGTTTAAGTTGTACAAAATTCGTTTTTAAGATTAGCAGTAAACTTTCTGAATTAACTTTCATTAAAATATTACATAACTTAAAGAATAGAAATGTATATTTACGTATGTTATTGTTGAATGGCTCTAACCATGAATGAAATGCTCAACAATTACTTTTTGTGGTTGGCAGTATAAGAGCTTTGGCTCTTAGTGAAACCAAGAGTGCAACACAATTAACCTTTTTAAAGTCCATGAAATAATTTAAATTGATAGATTAACTTAACCTTTTTCCTCTAGAAAGAAAATATTTCAAAAAGACCCCACTAACTTCATATCTAATAAATGAAGTGAAAATTAATACAGAATTTAAAAAGGTAAACACGTTTGATTTCCTTTTAGTTTATACTGTTATGTAAACCGAATTTTAACTATTTTATCTAATGGATTTTATTAATTCATATGTTTAATTTGCATATAAAACTTTATGTTTATGGATTTTTGAGTTTTAGTTATTGTTAGATATTTAAAGAAGGTAAATTTTAATTTTATCAGTTGTATTTTATATATATTTAATCCTTTTATTATCATTATAAAAGTGACGTGGGGTGTAAAAGTCTCAGAAGGTTTAAGAAATGAAAATAAAATTGGCAGTGACTTAAAGCACCTTTCCAAAATGATAAATGAACATCACTGGTTCTGCGGTGTGTGGAAAAGGATTGAAACATGGAGGAACGCGACTGGAGTAGGTATTTCTGAGTCTGGGGTAGGAGGCGTTATGTCATCAGTTCTTAACTGAAGCTCGAGCTTATTCTGTTCATATTGGACTGAAATTCATGCTTTGATCGCGGTTCAAGGCGGTTGATGGGTTTTGATGAAAATACTTAATTAGGTTTCTTGGTTTTCCAGTTTTGTGAGGAGTTGAGTATTTATCATTGTTTCCAATTGATAATATGTCCAGTGTTATGGTTGTTCTGCTCTGTCTGAATTCTCGGGATGAAGATATCGGATGGCATCTTATTTTCCTTTATTCATTGCTCTAGTATTATGCTGGTCTCTGCAATGTAAGTTTCAACACATTAGAACAGCATTTTATATACAATGTTCATCTATTTTTTTTCACTTTTCGTTTTTTTTTCCATTTCAGTAATCATGTTTATTAAGGTTTTATCAGATCTGAAGTATTCTTGGATGCTAAACCTCAGATCTGAAGTATTCTTGGATGCTAAACCTTCTTGCATATATTTTCGAGTTTGTAACTTAATTTTAGAATAAACAGTAAAATAAATCAGTGACGGTATTAGAACTTTTTCTTGAAATTTTGTGGTGCAGAGTTTTCGTGTTTTTTTCTATTGGATTGAATGAAGCTGTTGGGATAACTATTAAAATGTAAATATATGTTGGTGTGAATAAGTTTCCTGTATATCGATGTAGTAAGATAATGAAAAACGATTCTTATTTTTGATAAGTTTGATTATGACCCTGGTTCATTTCATTGAATTCAAATACAAAATTAAATCATTTTTATTTGCAACATTTTCAATTATTGTATGTAACTTTGCTATTTTAGTTCTTAGTTTAAAAACAACTACCACTCACATGGTTATGGAATGATAAAGATTGATCTTTTTCAAATTTAAAACGTAATTCACATATCTGCTAAAAATAATTAAGCTGTTTTAAAGCTTATATATTGTAAGTATTTGTTAAATTTGTGTTATGAACCTCATTATTAACGTAAATTACAATATTCATTGCATTATTTTGGAAGTCGAAATTGTTAGTATGAATAATATCATTTACTCAAACTTTCATAACCTCGAAAAATAAGTCGTACAGAATGGATAACAGAAAATACTTAATGGCATATATATATATATACTACCAAAGTATTGTTTTTGCATTTGAATATTAATGTTATTTACTTTTCGAAATACTCTTCGTTCACTTTTTTAGTTGTTTGCTCAAGTGTACATTATTTAACTTTTTATGTGATTATAAGTTTATTTGATGTAATAATCGTCAACCTGTTTATGTTTATTTTGTTATACTAAATAGGATAATTGTAAAGTTTTTTTACACAAAGATGTTTTCTGCTTTTTTGCCCATTTTCTCTAAAATGTTGCGAAATCGTAATTTAAATACTTGTTCTAGTTCTTAAAGAAGCATTTTTTCATATTTAGAGATTCATACATTGAATGCAATAAAGGTCAGTTATATTTTGATACATTCAAATAAGTAACTGAAAGTAAAACTTTATTGCTTAAACGTTTAGAAAGTAACACAATTAAAACTAAGATAGTCAAGCTTGTGAACAAAATTGGCAATCGTACAAATGAATTATGTGCAGTTTGAAATCAATCACATAGCATGGTATTCAAATTAAATATGGAGTTGTCGAAGTAAGTTATCAGTTACTTAAATACGAGTATAAGTTTCTATATTATGGTAAGGGGCTGGCATTTTAAAATTATAAATGTTATAACAGGGAACAGTTTTAATATCCGTGAGCAACTGTGGTAAGAGATAACATTTTAAATTTAGAGCCCTTCCTTGTATATTTTGTTTGTTGTCAAGTGCACGGCTATCTGTGCTGTGTCCACCACAAGTATTGAACCAGAGTTTTAGCGTTTTAAAGCTTCATATTTACCAATAGGCCACAAGCAGAGCCAATGTTTGTGACTATAAGATATGATTCACATTAATTTTGATAAAATGTTAGTTTTTTATTTAGATGCTTATAAATAATAAACATTATAAACATATTATAAACATTAACAAGAATTTTATTAAACATAGTAACGTAAAAGCGATAAAATAGATCGTGATTAAGTTAAGCTAAATATGCTTCAATCATATATTTATAACACGATGAATCTCTTTAAAATGATTTTCCAGAAATGTATAACTTAAATTATAGTTACTAAATCTTGTTTAATCCTTTAAAAAATTACTTAACGATTTGTTAGGTAATTTTAGTAACGTTTAATGTTCTTTTTTTATAGATATGGAACAAAATATGTAGGATTAATGTGGCATATAATTACTCTTTTGTAAACTAATTATTTTTCATTTTTATAATGTTGCATAAAATCAACATAAAAGAGCTAGTTTCTCTTTCGATATTTACTGTTGGAGGTTTTTAGACAGTACGAAAATAAATAACAGACACGAATGTAAAAGAACGTCCAAGTCGAAGCTGTAAATTTGGGTTCCTTATCTCCAAGACCTTTGTGAGAACTATATCATTACTGGCATAACAGATGCTGCAAATACCATTGAAAAATATTAACATACACGTTCCTTTAACGTAGGTAAGCATATTAGTCATTCAAAAGATCTAGAAGTACAAGGTTTCTCTGGTTTAGGATATCAGTTTTACAAATAATCCTTGAAGGTATGTGTTTTTGAAAGTTACCTTCTTTTACTTAATGAACCTATTTTAAATTTACAAACTCCAGCAAAACTCTATAGTAGTTAATAAACATTTTATAAAGCATACTGGAAATTACTGAAAACTTAATTCTTCTTTTTAAGACAGTCGTGAAATTTTTTTGTTGAGACGAATCAATGGAGTACACTGAATCGCTCGAACGCACGTCCTATTAATCTGTATCTGAAGGAGGAAAGGTTTCATGGGACGATTTCAAAGTTGTTTGGATCATTTTTCTTTTCTTTTAGAACATTGTTTTCTTCTCTTTGAAAAACACTGGAAACAATCATTTTTTCAAGATTTCTGAATGGGGCTTCAACTCCCAGAGCGCATATGAAAGAGAACACGAAAGAAAATACAAGACAACCCAGAAACGTGCACATCTGTAAATATTAATAAAAAAAAAACATGACGAAAACAAATGAATTACAGAACTAGTGATGTTATGCAAAACAGAATTGCAAAAAGTCATTATATCAAATAATCCAACATGAGTAAATACCATATGCAATCTTCTTAATGATATTTTTATTGTGCAGAGAGACTTAAATGAATAAACGTTTTAACAGATCAGACATGTCATGGAAAGGCCTTTTCTGATTTACATTATGAAAATTGAAAATTATATATACAGTGTGTTAAAAGGAGTAAGTAAAATGTTGAATATATTGAATGTCATTATTACAAAATCAAAAAATATAGCAATAAACAGTTTTCCAACAAACAAGTTATTCACTAAGATCCAAAATATAATGTTTTAGAAAGGAAAGCAGGGCATACAAACACGTTGTGAGACATAATTTTATGAAATTTTGGTATTCTTAGGTTAGACTGATTTCTACGAAGAGTATTAGATAATTACACTTTATAACGAGAGAATTGCGACATAAATTACGAAGTAATACTAAATTTAAATAACCTAACTGAGTTTCAGCAAAGAATGAAAAAAGCCTGACACGATGTGTAATACAACATGAAAGCAATGTTTATTAACAATGTTGCTTGCACCAACCCAGTTTGTAAGAAAATAGACTCAGCAATTTTTACTGTAATTCCAAATTTTGCTAGGCTTTTAGTCATCGTTACAAGTATTTTATGCACAAAAATAATCATAATTTTGAAATAAATAATTTCATTAAAATGTATCTGTGAATTTACTAAATCAGGCTGACTCCAACTGTGAGTAGTCTGGGTGCAAGGTGAATTCATAATACATATTACATAACTTCCTAAATTAATAGAAAAGTATTTTTTACTTTTATTCGTCATTTTCTATATCACAACACTAACTGTAGTGAAATAAACAATCTAGGGTAAAATGGAAAGTTGAAAAATATGAATTAAATGTAAATTAATTATCTTTTCGTCTTCATAGACTGACTGTATACCGTTAAAAGTTCATTTTGATGCATAGGTTGAAAAGGGTGAAAACTGCTTGGTTATGAAAACTTGCTCTAAAATCCCACAGAGATGGGACCATAACTTTATGCATTGGTCAAACAAAATGTCTATGGGCTTCACATATATTCGTACCACAAATTGTTTGTAGAAGATGCATTCAGAATTCCTGTGAACTTTCTGATCCCCAGGTTTCATTGGATCTCCAATTAATCAATACTTTTAGCTGTGATGAACTCTATCATCCCTGCTGGGAAACAGACTACATAGCTTACAATTTAACTTGGCCTTACTTCCCTCCCTACTGACTGGTAGCATGGACGAATAGTGGCCGAGACTGCAACCTAGTGTCAACACATGGGCTGACTTGGATTAAATAATATTTTATCTTCTCATGGTCATTCTTTCAATTACAAGTCTAATACTAGTTTTTGTGCTATACTATACTAATGAATGACTTTATGTAGTGTTCACATAAACATGTAAGACCACACGTATATATAAATTTATTAATATCACCATTACATACTGTCACATACTCCAGTAGCTTACAACAGAATGCCTCTACCTTACTCATAAATTACTTCTGAAACCTTCTGAAGTTTCTGTAGTTGTGGTTCCATAATGTGTTACTATCTAGTCGTCAAACTTGCACTTTTCTTTTCAGACATCATAACCAATAACCTAACCACTAACAGAATACAGCCAGAGTAAAATGTTTTATACTGTTACTAATGTATGTGAGCTTACAGTCAGAAGAAAAATAACCATATATAATTGGCATACTTTATAGGTATATAAGGGCGAATATAAAAGTTACAGGATCATAAGAGCCCGTAATATTGAAACATAAACTCTTCCTGAAGATTGTTTGTTTGTTTTGTTTGTTTTTGAATTTCGTGCAAAGCTACACGAGGGATATCTTCGCTAGCCGTCCCTAATTTAGCAGTGTAAGACTAGAGTGAAGGCAGCTAGTCATCACCACCCACCGCCAACTCTTGGGCTACTCTTTTACCAACGAATAGTGGGATTGACCACAACATTATAACGCCCACACGGCTGAAAGGGCGAGCATGTTTGGACGTGGATTCGAACCCGCAACCCTCAGATTGCGAGTCGAGCGCCTTATCCACCTGGCCATGCCGGGCACCTTCCTGAAGAACTGAGAAAATTAATCAAGTAGTTTTTTAAACAGAATAAGGGAGTAGACTACATGAAAATAGATTTTCCAAGTGTAACTTCAAAGGACAAATTGTAAGTAACTGTAGATTAAAATCTGTATGGAATAAGAACTACTGCCAGAGTTTACTAAAAACAAGGACATGTTATAATTGTGGAAAATATTGCAATTAAAGCCGAGCCTTTTAGGAACCAACAGCTGTTATTCAGCTTTAAATAAATTCTTGAAGGATGTCTTTGAGCCGAACCAAATCAAAGGAACACCAAAGAACTAACCAGAAATAAAAGAGACATGAACTAGCTGAATTTCTGGGGTGAAGCTCAGCTGGGCATAATTCACCTACCCCAAATGAGATAAAAGAATTATTATTTGAGGAAAATTTTCCTTGAGTCCACAAGTTTATTGATGGAAGAGTGCATATTGGGAACTAACTTCATGTGGAGACATAGATGTGAGGTTAAATTAGCTTCAAATAACTTCACAGTCTATGACCAGGAAATATCTGTGCACTAAATGACAATTATTGCTTTGCTTTAGAGGTTGAACTCCCAGTGACGAGAAGAAAGGAGGCCATTGCACCACCAAGAAGTGGAATACTTATACCTCGAATTATTATCAATAATTATACATGTAGTGAATGAGGCATATTAGAATTGGTGATTGGAAGAGTTATCCGGGATGTGCAGAATAAAGATATGATACATAACCTTACCCAGGAAAGAATTCAACTAACTTGTGTTAAAATTAAAGGTCGTTATGATACTAATGCTGATAAAAGGATACTAATGAGGTGCCTTGGTATGGTTAAACAGTTCTTGCTACAAGAGCAAACAAACTCCAGAATTAAGTTGGGGTTTGAAAAGGACTAAGTTATATTGAAAAGAACCAATGTTGTAGTTTACAGAATATGGAAGGATCCAAGCCAAAGGTCATTCATCATCATCTTTAGAAGTACATTGGTGAGAGAATGGCGAACGGGACTACTGTAGAGAAGAATCTGCAAGCAAATAGTCAGTATGCCAAAGAGCTCAGGGTGCCTGTTGAGACCACTTACAAAGGATCATCAGGAGTGGAGCCACGAGTGGAATCACTGGATCATCTAACTTGGAACAACTACTCCCAGTGATAGGACAACTGATGGTGACTACGGATAAGAAACCATCTCACCTATATCCCATGGGTCTCAGAAGAGAAAAAGAGAAAGCCACCAAAAAGATTTGGTCAGCATAGTTTAGAGTTTTATTTTTGTATTAGAATTGTTCAAAGGACACATAATCCAAAAAGGGGAGAATATTGTAAGCTATATTTTCAATGCTGTAATTTGTCTGTTTGCTATAAGGATGATATAATGATCGAGAGACTTTGTGAAATATCGAGAGCAATAGAGATATAAATACGAGTGAGCATATAGTTTGTTTTTTTATGAATCATTCAATGAAGTAATTCGTTTTCAGTTCATTCAGTGGTTGAGAAGTTAGTGAAGTATTAAGATCAGTGTTAGATATCACGTATATTCAGTTACTCAATCGATTAACCATGATAATGTACAAGCAAGTTCATTTGTACATTAGTTGTAGCACCATTAACGAGTAAATTTCTATTGAAGGTGAAAACATTATTTGTGAACTTAGGTCTACAACTGTGTACAAGTGATAGTAGTCTGTAGCGAACATTAAGAAAGAAATAAACAAATTTATCATTATGTGAACTGGGCTTTATATTATTTTCATCAAATAATTCAAAAGAACCCGCCCAATGAAAGAACATGTTCAAAAACACTTTTTTGGCATAATTCATTGGTGTTCCAGGTATGATCTTCGACGGCATATTGATGGTCATGGAATATTAAATCTAGTGCTGCAAACACTGTTGTTGGTGTTGTTATAATTTTATCTTCAGAACCTCTTTTATTTATTAATGTGTTTCTAAAATCTAATATAAGCCTTATTATTGACTATGTATTGGAGTACTACTGATTCATGGCTTACTTTGTTCATTTTAGAAGTGATTTCCCATTGGAATATAAATTATGGTAATGCTTATGTAACTGCCTGTGTAAAGCATTATTTACTTCAATGCTATCTCCTTATCTTACACCATACATATTTATAAATATCAGTATGAGCAATTTGTTATACTGCTAAACTCTCCATATTGCATACTGTGTTTTATTAGTTTGTTAGCTAAAAAGGTTGAATAAGTTATATTAAAACGATTTTGATGCCTCACTATGCCATTATCATCAATGTTAAGAAATCCAGTAATGCCCTATCTGACAAGTGTGCATCTTGACAATAACCCTGCAATGTAGTTTACATTTTATAGCAAAAGGCTTTATTGTAACACTGTCATTTCCAAAGCACAGCACTCCTCCCTGTGGACTTTCTATAATTCCTCTAGTTTACGAGGATGATGGTTTCACGGCACAAATTTCAATAGTCCTATTCCACAGAAATCCATAGGCAATTGACTAGTATGCCTTCGTTTGAAATAGCATAAACTATTAGAAAATTATTAAATCTACAATGAAATGCTCGGTCTGGCTAATTATTAAATATATCTGTTCTTCTCATCATTATCATATAGTGTTTGAAGCGATCAGATTGTTTGTTTTTGTTTTTTATTTTGGGTGAAAGTATTTCAAGGTTATGTGTGCTAACCATCCCTAATTTTCAAGTGATAGACTAAAGGGAAGGAAGCCAGTTAATACCATTGATCGCTAACTTTTAGGCTACTCTTCTCAGACCGAATAGGGGAATTTGATCACCTCTCTTATAATGCAGTCATGGCCGCCAAACTGTAATGCATATTGGGGGGGGGGGGATACTGGTAAGTAATTACAAAACTTCGGATCCACAGTCCAACACGGGGCCATGCTCAGCCCAAGTAATCAAATAAACACTTGTACTTGTACTGAAACTAAAATGAGTTTAGTTTATACTTACGGTTGTTAGATGACCAGCATAGACCCGTTCTCGGATGTTTCCAACATACAACCATAGCAAACAGAGATGGGAAAGATATGTCATATAGGCCAATCTTGAAAGCGGGACGAAAGCCTTCCACGACAGGAATGTGTTTATAAGGCCTAGAAATTCCAATTATGCTTAGTGTTAATTATAGTATTTTGGC